GAAAAGAGCTCAGGTTTTCTCAGGTGCAAAGGGGAGTAGAGGAGGGGCGAAAGGCCACAGAGTTTCCAGAACTCTGCCCCTTTCTTCTCCTGTGCTTTTGCTCATCTGAACAGTCTCTTCAGAAATCAGCAATTGGAAACACATAACAAGTAATTCTCTTTGCCAGGTAAATGGGAACAATAGTTGAGTGGGAAAGAATGAATCACTGCCATTAACAAGAAAACTAGGGTTGCTCTCATCATCAACACAATGCAGTGTCTATTCTCAAATGTCAGGGCTAATAACTCATCATTTACAAATTAGACTTAACCCCCTCCCACACAAACCCACATAGCCCTTGCTAGCCTTCAAGCTTAGGTTATAGCTGCCTTTCTCTGAGGGCTACCAATAAAACCTTCAAAATACATATCCTCCAGACAGTCTGGCTTCTTTCAAGATCAAATACTCCTCCCCTTTTCCCTCTGGATTTTGTTTTAATTACAGCTCCATCACTGAAAAATGTGGAAAGCCCATCTAAGGCCCTAATTATCCTTAATGTAAGAGGACCATTATTGTCTACAGATGAAATGAATAATACAACCAGTAAGAAAGATTCCAAAGTTTTGATTACCTTAATAAATTCCTAAAAGTGAAGGAACTCACAGATCTTTATCCAATGCAACCACAAATTATTAATGCAGGTGGGAGTATCAAAAGCCAGAGTGTTTCAGCTGGCATCTTACATCTGTTGAGATGGTGTTTTTCATCCAGTGTACTGATGGATTATAACTATAGCCCCCCAGAAAAGGTGTAACAAGGATGCCAGTTTCCTAGATAACCATCATGTAGGTGTAGAACATGAGATGCTGCTAATTTCAGACGTTCATCAGGATATTAATAACCTCCATACTTTGAAAGTAATGGGCTCGTTTGAATTCTTGGTCCTGAAATATAGAAAATATCCAGGATATGTTTTTTATTCAGGATGGCTTGTAAAATGAAGTTAAAACAGGTAACAGGGAAAAAAAAACCCTACAGAAACAAAATTCAGACTTTTAAGCAGATTCAATTTAGCAAATTCTGGTTGCCCAGTCTGACACCAGCAGTTTTTTATTAACGAATAAATCATTCTTTCTTTCTCTGCAGATTGAGAATTCTTCAAAGTGATTTACGCACAATTCTTAGCACAGCTGTTTGCTGGGGGTGTGTGCTCTGTGTGGGGGATCTATCAGCAGTCTGGCTACCTCTGTGTGATCTTGGGTAAGGCCTGGATAAAAATCAAAGGCCAGATTGTTCTGTTTTTCCAAATGTGTTGCCTGGGGCCTGCTAATTAATAGAATGTCTAGGAATGTCATACATCTATTGAAAAAAAAGCGTCACTTGAAAATTGCTATTGTTTTAATTGAATGTTGTCATTTTCACATAGTGACCAGTATCTCAGCCTACCAGTCTTCTTGAAACAGCAAACTGGAACATGGAAAAACTGGACAATCATAGGGAAATGCTGCCTGTTTTTAAGTTATTTTTTAACGTCGATCTCACAGAGTCATAAATGCTCTCACATGTTGACTGGGGGCCTTATCCTGAAGTCCAGGCTTGTGTTTCATTCTTATGAATTATTCCAACATAAGCCAGTGCTGGAGGCTGACTGTAAACAGGGGTTAGAGAATTGAGCTGATTTTGACCTAGCAATGGAGCATAACTCTGTAAACATTTGCCGGAGATACGGCACTTTGTGTCATAGGCAGGCCAGCTGAAACTCTGAGGTTGTGCATGGCAGTAGGCATGCAGGGATGGCTAACAGTAAGTGCTTGCAGGATTGGGTGGTAGGTGGTCCTAATTTATTTGCTGTTTTAACAAAAATCTGGGATTTGTTATGGAGTGAGTTAGTTCCTCTGGGAAAGGTGGGTGTAACTTGTCAGGACATGAAGGATAACTAACCTCAGACATTTGGGAAGTTGTGTGTGTGTGTGTGTGTTTTGATGCATATGATTTTGTTATGTAAAATAGTGAGGCTCACCCCCTGCTCTGCCTGTGGGTTTCTGCACAGTTCTTTTGAAGGAGAAGGGTAGCTCATATGATGAGGTGAGAAAGAAGATGAATGGAAATAGAAACCAGGAGGAACCACTTCTTCAGCTGAATAGTTATAAGTGCTTCTAGAAATCAAAAATTTTTGTCCTGTTTCACTGGGCATATACAGGGAAAATCAGAAAATTATCTAAAGGTTACATCTTGATTTTTACAAATTTATTTGGCCACAATTTATTTGTACATGATGAGACACATTTTGTATGATGTCTGACTGTAAGCATTCCCCAAATGCACCACATGCAGTCAAATTAAGCTAAAACCCTTCTTTTTCTTCTCTGTGTAAGTCTTGGATGGGAAGCTGGTATTCATTTGATGTGTTTCAGTGCATTAGTGCAAAGGTGTGTGCTTTGGACCACAGGTATAATTTTGAAGGCTTCTTATGTTGAAAACTTGCTCAGTTGGCAAATAGATCATTCAGTGCTATGTTTTCTGGGAACCCAGCAAAGATGATGGCATTTTGGAGGCGGAAAGAATCAATAGGGAATGAGGGGGAGTATCTTTTTATCTGTCAAATGCAGTTGTGGTATCTCTGCAACACTGTGCTTTAAGTGCAGTGTGCTGGTCTTGGCTTTTATTAGAGTTCTGGAAGAGTTTTGTGCACTGCACAGTCTGATTGACAAAGAGGTTTTCTGTCCTCGAATGACCTTCTTTTAATTTTAAAAAAAATTCAATAAAAGTTCAGCCACACAGCAAGGGATGAATTTAAAGACTGCACACCATGTGACAGTGGTAAAACTTTCATAATAGCCGTCATATTTGTTGGTTTAAAAATCAACTTCATTGTCATAGTTAATAGTTTGCAGCTGCTGTAGAACAGAGGCAAATTGCTATGTATGTGTCAGCCTTAAATGCAAGTGAGATCCACTGACTAGGACGACTGGGTTAGTTTTTCCTATCTATTGGTAGTATTGCTGATCATCATCTCTACGCGATGAGAGGATTTCATTGCCACATTTCAGCACTGCTGAGCTGATTATGTGATCCTGCAAGTAAAACAAACTTGTTTTCAGTGTCCTGCCAAAATATACTCCACAACATCCCATTAAAAAGGCTTCCAGGGTCATGTGTAAGTAGGTGCAACCCCCTGCAAATCTATGGGGTATCATCAGCATTGATTTAACTAATGAAGGTAAGTTATATGAAAAGTGTTAAAGAATCAGAATTTAGCACCTAATGTGAAGCTCAGTAATAAAAGCCTTTTTGGAAGATCACAAGGTAAGTTCTCTGCCAACTTATAACATATTAAAGTAGTGATAATTTGCACCAGGTTCATATAAGATGGGAATGGGAAGCAGATGAAACAACTCTGTCTCTGTCATGATGGTGATGCGCAGAAGGCGTGTAAAATCAAAACAGTCCAGTGGTCAAAGTGTAGCAAACAGGCTGGGCAGGCCTGTTTATATATGAAGTGTCTGTTGATTATCCTGGACTGAAGGCTATCCAAAAAAGCCTCCCTATGGCACTGGGAGTTGTGGCAACCATGGATAATTATGTCTAAAGGTTGCTGTTGTGCATTTAGGCTGGGCAAATGTAGTGTTACTTAGATTTAGAGAGATCCTACTTTGCTTCTCCTCCTCCTTACTTTGTCTGCTGTTAAAGTAGAACTGAGTTTAAACTGTGGACCTAAAGCTGCAGAATGATATGTGAGGGGTATCCCTTTGAAGTGGCCTCAGAAGGACTGTGGTGATTTAAAGCAGAGCATCCCTTGGTGTTTTAGGCACCTGTCTCTGGGGAAGTCACGGAGTTCAGTAGGTGCAGGTCGGGCTGCCTAGGATGCTGCGCTCTCATGGCTGAGGGTCAGCTTCTCCTTCAAGACAGTAAATAGTAGAGGAGCAAGAAATGACTGAGCTTACAAGAACACAGTACTTTTAATGCTGAAGTCAAATGCTCAGAGCCTAAATGGTGGGAAAATTTCCCCAGGGAAGAGGCAGCCCACACAGTCCTGCACTGGATTACTGTTAGTGCTACTTCACTTATTTGGTTGAGATTTCTCATGTGTTTCCTGGGCCAGAACCTGACCCTCAGGTCTCATTTGCAGCTCAGAGAATTTCAGTTTGGCATTTCTGTGAACATTGTGTAATTGCAATAAATTCAACTCTTGTTATTCCTTCAAACTTGGATAATTTGTCAATGTGCTAGTTTATTTTATTCGCATAGAGACCGTCACTAGCACTGAAGTCTAAAGTAAATACACAGGATATCTCATTAATCTGTGTTTTTTTATTTTTTTGTTTTTTTTTCTGCTGGCCTTCTGTCTTTATTGGTTTGTGAAGGTTGCTTTGTTTTACAAACAAATGAAAGTGTACACAAGAAGATGGGTGGAACCTTCAAAGCACCCTGTTCAGTGTGTGAGAGCTCTAGGAGAGTGGCTTTGCAGTCTGAGGATGCCACTCAGTAGATACCTCCCCCCATTTCTGAAGTATATTCTGCATCCTCTTGATGGAGTTTCCTAGCCCTGAGGAGTGAGAGACATCTGGGCTGAGCCCTGGTTATTTGTCAGCCAATTCACAATTAGACAAAATGTCTTTCCACAGAAAAAGCAGAGAGGGAAGGAAGATCATAGAATCATAGAAAGGCTCAGGGCCTCATCCAACACGGGACTGAACACTTGTAGGGCATCTACAACTTCTGTGGGAAATCTGTTCTGTGTCTCACCACCCTCAGAGTAAAGATATCTTTTCCAACATCTAACCTAAACCTCTCCTCTTTTCATCTAAACCCCTTGTTCCCCCTTGCCACTGTCATATGGCCATTTAAAATGCCATTCTCCCTCTTTTATTTTTTTAAATAAGCCCCCTTTAAGTACTGGAAGACAGCAATGAGGTCTTTCCAGAGCCTTCCCTTCTCAACTCTCTCAGCCTTTCTTCACAGGAGAGGTGCTCCAGCACTCTAATAATTTTTGTGGCCTTCCTCTGGACTTGCTCCAACAGGTCCATGTCTTGTGCTGGAGATCAGCTGGATGCAGAACTCCAGATGGGGTCTCATGAGAGCAGAGTAGAGGAGCAGGACCACCTCCCTTGACCTGCTGGCCACACTGCTTTGGGTGCAACTCAGGATGCTGCTGGCCTTCTGGACTGTGGGCATACCCAAGATATACTGTTGTTAAAGAGGTGGAACAGATGTTTGGAAGGTAACAGCTATAGATGTGTTGGAACTACCCCTTTAGTATTAGACCTGCATCTATTTTTCTGCCTTTTGGGACAGAGGAACTTGCAAGTTCTTGACCAATAGTTCTCTGTCTCCAACATCCCCGAGTGTTTGCTGAAGATCGTGGACAAACAGCCACATTTTTCATTGATGGTAGTTATTCTTTTCTGAAGGAGAGTTCTTCATTTAGGCCTACAAGGGCAGTTGGCCTCTGTGATTAGAGAAAGAGGGTGGACTTAATCTAATTAAATGTAAAGGCATCTGAAATGCAAAAATATGCCATTATGGTAGTCCTTGAGCATTCTGTTATAATCTGAGGATATGAAGCCAATGTAGTCAAGGGACTGTACCTACCCGCTCTATCTATTATCGTAGAGCAGATGTGTAAAATGGCAAATGGACTCTGTCCATAACAGTGTCTCTATCTATTAATTAGACTGAGGCAAGAAGAACATCCCAAGATTTTTTGTCTTCTGCTTACAGAGGTGGAACAGTTTGTAGAGACTGTGATCTGTATTTTATCTTCCTTCTCATGTTGCCTTTCTTCTCACCTCTGAACATTGACATAACTTTTCAGGGCAGGCATGAAGTAAGTCTGCTGAACATAAATTTTGATTTTTGTCATTGTAGCTTTGCCTGGAACAGCATATAATCTACTGGCATTTTGGATCTGCAGGAGAAAACCAGAATGTTTCCACCGTCAAAGGTCTCTTGGAGTTGTTGAAAGAAGGCTGGAACAGTCCTGGTTTTTGGACTTGCTTTTCTTAAGGTATTTTTCTTCCTATCTGATTTCCAAAGAGGAGCCTGATTTTCATTTTACATTGCCCCACCCCTGTGGCGTTTTTGACATTGGCCAGAAATGAGAAGCCTTGAGTTGGAAAGGTGTCATCAAAACAATGACTAGATATACTTGGAAGAAATGTTTATTATTTGACTTGCTGCCACTGAGAGCTGCTAATTACCAAGCAATTATGACCAGACATAATTTTTCACTGTCTAAAGCTGCCTCTTGGGTTTAATATCTGTCAGAAAACAAAAACCAGAAAATTTTTGAGGAGTCCAAAAAGGGCCAAGAGATGTATAAATATTTCCTCAGGGCATCCTTTCCTACCTTGGACTTCAAGGCCAGGAGTTTGGCTATCACTGCCTCCTTAGAAAGCATTCTTGGCTCCAGCATCCTGATCCATCTTTTCCCTCCTGGTTTTTCAAATAATCAAATCATAAAAGTAGGGGAGTACATTTTGCATTTGTAACTTCTGTGATCTTTGGATGCTTTAGGAGTCAAAACTCCTATGGATTTGCCTCAGCTGAGGGCTGCGTGTTTGACTCAGAAATCCTTTTGCACGCAAATTAGAGGGCGACCAGTGCAAAACAATGTGGTTATAATGCATTAGCTAAGCAGGAAGCATGGAGATCTGTCTCTGCTCTGTCAGGAAACAATTTGTCTGTGGAAATGGCATGGCACAGTGCTTGGGAAGACAATGCTGTGAGCAATGTTCAGTAGGCTGGCGGCTTGAGAAGGTCCTACAGGGGCACTGTCAGTGCATCAATAGGCCTGATTTATCACTGTATTATATTAATTCTACTCCAGGGTGACTCCATTCAAGTCAGTGAATTTATCATAGGGTAAAGCTGGGGGAAAATAATGCCTCATCCCTCTTGCCTTTTGCATGAATTTCTTCCACAGAGCCACATCGATACATTCAGTTCTGTCCTCTTCATGCCCAGCTGTGATAAGGTGGGAGCTGGAAGCTTCTCATTATTGCATAGAGGAGTTGGGATATATTCCTAGTACTGGCAGAGATTCTGAACCCCAAATTTGCCAACTAATCCTCAAAAATGCTTTCTGGTGAAGACAGACACATGAATCTTACAGTGTGGTTCTTGAGAAGGCACTTTCAAAATGGGATTTACTGTTGAGGTGGAACACCAGAGGCTGTCACACCACTAAGCTGAGAATAAACAGTGAAGAAAGCCTACATGAGAATGCCATGAAAGTGGGTATAAATGAGGGAGGGAGTAAACTCTTGCATCCAAACAGAGTTTGGCATTTGCCTGTAACATGTAGGTTCTTTGCCAGCATGAACAGAATTGAGAAGTGAAAATCTACCATCTCCATGTTCATCTTTCAGCAGGCTTCCAAGCATGCACATTTCGTTCAAAATCACTACCAAGCTGTTTATGATACATCTGTGCCAACTGCAATGTTTTATGTAGTCATCAAAGCCAAATCATTGTGACCTGATGTGACTCAGTTTTCTAAAAGGGTGCATCTTGAGAATTCTCATTTTCTTCAGTTCAAAGTGAAACACTAGGAAAAGTGTGGAATGGATCTGAAAACAGTGCAGCATTCTTATGCAGAGGCAAGAGTGCCATTTAGGCAAACACAGAAGAAATTCTGTCTTGGGTGTGTTTTTCAAAATGAGTCTGAAATGTTCATTGGAAAAGTGTCAGGAATATGAGACTTAAATGAACTCATTTACATGCTCTGATTTTGCCTATATCTGTGGTATTGGGAAGTGCAGAAACAAATTCTAAGTGGTCTGTTCCTGAAATTTTAGTTCACTTTTTTTCTCGGCATGGAAATTTATTTAAGAGTGTATGTGAAGTCTGGGGGCTTTTTCTCTCTGGTTTTATTTTTTTCCTCCATATTTCTCTTAATATAAATTTTATACCTCTGTGTAACTTTTAAACCTGTTAAGGATATGGAGAAAAATTAAGTGAAACATTGAAAAATTTTCTCTTTTCCTTTATTTTTTTTTCCTTTTTTTGTCTTTTCTTTTGCTGCTGTTTTTCTTGGATTATAGAAAAACTTATTTATATATTCAGCTGTTTAGATATGTTCTCATGCATAGATCATGGTTTATTATGCATTTTATTCTTGGTTCCTCAAACACTGCTGAACAAATCAAGAGTAAAATTTTCCAAAGTTCTTCAAATTGAGGTCAGATGCTTTCAGGCTCATAAATCCTCCTGGTCAGTGTAAGATATTTTGATACTTGAAATTTATCACCATCTTTCTCTTCAGTAGCACTGCCTGGTTTTAACTTCATCTAGGATTGAACTGAACAGTTAAACATTGTCAGAATTTATAATCAACAGTGGGATTTATGTGTACTAATACTTACCCGTGGTGCTGGGTTGTTTTGGTTTTTAGATGTTCCCACTACACCAGACAACACCAGATACGGATAAAAATGGCTTGTGTTGTTTTCCCATGCAAGTCATGAAAGTTATTTAATTTTTTAAAAAAATAAAGTAGTTAATGAGAGGCTTCCTTCTGATGAAATTAGATTCAGTATCATAATTGATGAAATGAGGAGATTACCCCAAATGACCTTTGTTTCTAAACCTTTATTTGAAAGGAAAAAAATACTTTTAAAATGTACTTCCAGATAGTATCTACATTTCTTAGAAACTTGCAGGGCTTTTTGTGGGAAACCCCCAAACTATTTCTGTGTGGCTTTGGCCAAAATTATTTGGTTTTCTCTTACCAAATTTCAAAAAGGTTGAATAGTTGGCTTTTCTGAAGGAAAGGCAATACTTTCCATATAGAAAAGTCCCCGTTTTTTTTTAGCATTGCTTTTTTATTTTTTTTTTTTCCCTTTCCACAGTTCTGACAAGCTAAAGAGTACAAAAGTACCTGGAAGTACATGAAATTTCAGAGTGAAAATAAGATTTACTCTCTCTGAGTTCTTGCCTGCTGCAGCACAGTCAGTGCCAGTACATTAGGCTCACAATTTGACATAAATACAAACACAAATTAATGTTTCTTCCACTGCAGCATTGCAAATACCATTATGGCTAATAGCCACTGACACCAATCAGTGAGGAATAGAGGCTGTAGTTGCCTAAGCAATCTGTACTATTAAAAGGATCAGCTGCCCTTTTCATACCCCTCTGCCATGATTGTTGGAGTGTTCATGTTAGTGCAAAAGGTGTCAAATAAGGATACTTTGCCAACTGAAAGCTAATAGTATGAAAAAAAAAGGAAAGTTAATGTGGACAGGAGGGAGTGGTGTAAACTGAGGTCATGTAATTTGGTTGAAGTCTGAATTGCTATTGCTCTGAAATTGCAGTGCAGTCATGTTACATGCTTGAGATTTTGGAGTGTTGGTGCCACAGGGAATTACAGATGTTCAGTTTTAAGGGGCAGTTCTGTTTAAAACCAGGCTTGGATGCTATATTTGCAGGGTAGTGTGCTTTATGGGCTGTTTCAGCAGGTCAGCATGAAGTGACAACCCTGATCATGAATCTTTCTCCCTTGTGAGTGAAACAATCTGTGCTGGCCTGTGCTGCCCTTCCTAGACACATGGAAGGGGTTCTCAGGTGGTGTTTTTTTTCCCTATCCTGCCCTGTAGACTGTGGGGATACATTTAGAGAGTCTGGAGCTGCTTTTTAGAATGTGGGAGTACAGTATTGTTGCTGTTCTGTCTTTTTCTTATTTTAAACAAAGAGATTGTACCTTCTGACTTCCCCAAATCAGGCTTGGAGCCTTCAGTTATGACTGAAATGAAGATGAAGGCTTAAATGCAGGGATTAGATAGTTAAGATGAGGATTTAGAAAATACCCATTTTTGCCACGAGATAATTTTGTGATATTTCTGTAAAGAAAGCTCTTCAACAAAAACTGGAAGGAATTCGGCCATGAGGAATTCCAACAGTGAGAATTTGAGATGTTTGGGAAATCAGGAGCAAACTGAATTTGAGGTCTTAGAAATGGTGGTATTTTTTTTTCTGGTGCCAAAAAGCAAGCCAAGTTATTTTGTCCTGAACAATCTCTAGATTTAATCTCTCTTGAAGTGCCCAAGGGGTTCTCTGACAGAGTTTTGGAATCTGTGGTTCTCCTTGGTGCTGTGTTTTACAGCTTCATAACAAAACACTGAAGCTGATTTCAGTAATGGATAAAGTGGAGTTCAGTATATATTTGATCTCTTTCAATAACTAGAAACCTTAACCATTTTGTAAACAAAGACTCAGCCCAGTGTGAATATGCCTAAAAAAAGAGAAATTTTATTGGATTGTGGAAGTAGTGTATCTTGTATCTTCTTCACTTATTAAAACATAAGGCCTTAATTTCAGATTTAGGAATAAGAAAGATGACAAAGAATAGCACTAGATTGGAAACTATGAAGCCTGTGCCTAACTCCAGTGAAAACAGTTATGGCTGAGTCATTTTGATCAAAGCATGTACAGTCAATAAATTCAATAAATAGATATATATTTAAACACATGGAGGCAATGATTACATAAGGAAACTTGAGAGCAATATTTTAAGGTGTATAAAGTTTTTTTCATTTGCCATGAAAACGTGTACTATTGTATAGATTTCCTTTCTCTTTCCCACAGTCTATGCAAAGTTGAGGCCAGAAACAGCTTGAAGACTGAACATAGTATGTCTTTAAAATCCAGCCATTCTTGTGCACATCTGCCAGTAGTGGACATTGACCTTCTCTTTCCTGCTGTGGGCAGACGTCATTCAGTTCAGGAAATATCAGAGAAGTGACACAGCTCTGGCTTAGCACAACAGTGACCCTACAAAATGTGGCCTTGAAAATCTTATTGTGCTGGCAAGCCAGGATCTCTGAGCCTTCCCCCACTGCATGCAGTCTTTGTCTAGCAAGGCTAGTGACTGTTTAATTTTTGCCCTTCTCTTTTAGCTATAGATGTGACTAACAGTAGGAAAAGCTAATGAACAGATGAGCAGCAGATATTTTGAACTTTCAATATTTCTGAGATATTTAGGTAAAACAAGGCAGGGCAAAGTTTTGTATAGAGAGGTAATGCCTTTTACTAGATGAAATGATAGAACTGGAAAGAAACAGCAACTCTCACTTGATGAAAGCTTGTCACTTTTTCCCAACTTTTGCATCAGTTGCTCCAGTGATGCTTGCAGCCAGGCAAAATCACTATTTTTTTTTTTTGTTTACTATTAGTTATTTATTCAGTTTAAAGACAGAAGACAAAATAACTATCTGCATTGTGTAGATGTTGCAGTGTGAAGCAATTCTGAGGAATATATTCTTCTGTAAACTGTGTTTTATTTTGTGTATCTATAATAAAAAGTATTTAGATTGAACATCAAAAAAATTGGAACCATGATATTTTACTAGGAATATATGTACTCAAATGTATATTCAGGTGAGGATGCAATGTATTAACAGTGTTCTGTTTGTATCAGGTACCCTTATTTTGCAAACTATCTGAAGTTATGTCTCTGACCCCATCATTACCATGTGCCATCGCAGAAGTCCAGTTTCACTGAAGTGTTAAATTCACTGCTGTTCAGGAAACTGTTTCTTTGAATTCCCTTTTCTCTGTTTTTAATAAATCTTGGTTTTGGCTACGATCACTCTTGCCTAGGTAATTTTACAAAAATGCCTGTAGAATGCTCAGAAGCTCACCAGCTTTATGAAGAAGACCTTCAGACTTTCCAGAACTCAAAAGTTCCTCTCAGTGCCAATTACAAGACTGGAAAGAGGTTAGTCTGTTATTTTTTCGTAAATTTTGCCTGCCATCAGGCTCCAGTGAACAAACAAACAAAAAAAAATACAGAATCCTGAAGACTAAAAGAGGGCTAGAAAATGGTGTTGGTGGGTGGCCATATAATATTAAAAAAAAAAAGAAAAAGATGAAAGCTCTTTAATTTATGCTTGGCTCTTGCAGTGCATGAGGAATGCCATCCCTTAGCCATCATGTCCTTTGGAGCATTAGTCACAAAAGGAGCTGTGTGACTTGCTGATAATATCTGCACATGGGAAATCCTCAGAGGATTTGTTAGGATGCATCCATGGCTGGCTGGAGTCTCATGAGCTGTCTGGGACAAGCAGAGCATGTTGTGTGGGCAGCTCTCTATCTGCACTAAGGTGATTTTGGCCTGTGAAAAAAACTGTCAGACATGCTGGACTCCTGTGTTGCAGGTGGAATTTGGAATGCTACAGTACCTGGGTGTCAGAGTCCACAGAAGAGATTCAGTGGGTTAAACCCAGAAATCTGAGTTTGCCAAGTATTGTCTCAGATAAATTCTTTCAGCAGTTATTCTAAGACAGCTTATTTAAACATAAGGCCTTAATTTCAGAGTTAGGGATTAGAAAGATGACAAAGAATAGCACTAGGTTGGAAAGTATGAAGCCTGTACTTGACTCCAGTGAAAATAGTTACATCTGAGTCATTTTGATGAAAGCATGTACAGTGCTAAGACAGTGGCTAAGACAGAAACTAATGGCGTCAGAAAATGAATTAAAAGAATTCTTATTCCTATTAGAAAAAAACATTATGTTTGATTTCCTATCTTAAAAAAAATATCTCAAAATAAATGCAGCTGTTTAATATCTTGAGGCAGAAAACCAATGTCTTCTTCATGTTTTATGATCCATAAATTTAGTATGTCAGGCCTCTTGCATAGTAGCTCATAAGCATTTTCCACTATGTTGGGTTGCATGGTGTGCTTGAAGATGAAGTTCAAAGTGTCTGTTCCAATGGCTACTTTCACCCTGTTTGACAGACTTTTGTATGGGGTAAAATGCACAGCATAATTTCTGTCTGGTCTTTCAGTAGGAAAACTTTACATCAAATTCATTCAACTTTATTTACTCTTTCATTAATTTGTGACCTCATCCTACTGGGACCAGGTTGGGTTCAGGCAGGGGATGTGATACATTGGTTATAGGACACACTGGTAACCTGATATCCACGTGTAATATCATGTGTGATATATGTGAGCTAGAAACATATATGTGAATTCCACATTTGGAGAGAAGCACACTTCCTAAAACATGGAAAGCGAGAAGTTAACATCAGTTCTTTTCTTCTGTATTTGTATATACTTGGACTTGGTCACTTACTAAACTGAACTTAAATAAATAAGACTTAATTTGTACTTGGTAGAAAGTTCCAGCCTCTTTCCAGTGAAAACTTTGCCATTAGGTCTTAATGAATAATTAATTTTTCACTTTACTTTCTGAACTAAAAAAACCAAGAAAATATTTCAGATTGACTCATAGTGAAAAAATTTTGTTTATCTCACTGTAACGAAAAATCCAAATGTAATGCAAATAAAAAATTGTTTCTGCTTACATTAAACATTTTATGCACCAGAATGCTTTATTTCATATCCTCATGGGTTTTTTTAATTCTCCTTAATTTTAAGTACATTTTAAAAGAAAACAATTATTTTGAAAAGTCAAACCATTAAAAACAAAAAAATATTTTCAAGGCTTTTATGCAGCTCTCTGCTATCATCCTAGCTACATTTTATAGCAAATATATCTACTAAGTGGGATTTTTTTTAATGTTGATTTATAAATGATTCCTTTAGCTGTCCTGGCCATTTTCTGATGGCTGCGTGCCATGGTGTGATGTGTTTCGCAAAGTTTTCAGAGAATTGTGGTGCATACAGTTTGTGCACCTGAAAAATAAATATGGATAAATACATGTGAAGGCCCTTCCTTATCAGTGGTTGGTGCAGGCTGCAGGTAAGGCTTGTCTTAATCTTGAAAATCTTTCATTTCCACAGGGCAAGTGAACCTTTAGGCTTTGTTTTCTGAGCTTGGACGGGAATCAGACTAACACTGCGTTATCTAATTCTTCATCTCCTCTACATTTCAGGTTTCCATTTAGTTGATTTTGGAAAGCGTGAAGTGTTTGAGAGGATTAGAGACAGCAGAAGAAGAGGAATTCAGACTATGTATTGAGTAAGGGATGTTGACTGTGGAGGGAGATTTTGGAGCTTGTTGTGTTTATAGACAATTACATTGCAGAGTTCATTTGAATGCACTGGGGTTCATAAACTTGTGTAGCCTGGAAGGCAGGGCCCATTGGAAGGATTCAGAATTTCAGTGCAAATGATTTACCCAGCTGTTAAGATAACACTTAAAGAGTTAGTGGTAAGATAATTTTTTTTTTTTTAAAAGGTCTAATTTAAATTGACAAACACATTGGAAACTGCAGATGGGCTCAAGCTGAAAAGTAGAGTGTGTGAAGTCTTTCCAAGTTCAGGCAGGTTGGGATCCAAACCTTTTCCTACCGCTCTGGTTTTTGGTTGCTTTTAAATTCCTCTTTGGTTCTTTTTGACTTCTTGTGTAAATCTAAGATGGTGGGAACACCTGGTTACAAGGGAATTGCAATTGTTTTGGTGGCTTTGCAATGAGAATTAACTTTTTCTCAAGTGAAGCCCTGATTCCTGAGCCAAATTCAGTGGCCATTGACACCTAAAATTTTGCTGATTAGCTCACAGCTTCAGCTAGGACTAGTTCAGTTCTACTAAATTTTCCAGTGTCCAAAGTACATGACTTTTCAAATGCTTTGCTTCAGTCATTTCACAGTGAGGCTGGTCTGCTGGCAGCCCCCTTGTGATGGCTACCAGTGAAGAGGCCTCAGCAGTTGCTCTGTGTATTTTTGGACAGGGTAGAAATATTATTATTGTTAGACACTGAACTCTTCATGCTACAGAATAGACAACTATCTGAGTACTGCTTTTCTTGAACAATATTGAAGCAGTAACTAAAATTTGGACCAGTAGCCAGGAAGTCTGCAATTGATGGAGTGACAAATATGAAAGCCTGTTTTGATTTCAGCATTCCTCATTTGACAAGTGTTTACCTAGACAGTGTGTAGTCAAAATGAATTGTCATTTTTTGCAACCCTAAATATTTGATATGTCAAAACTCCTGTGAAAATAGATAAACAAAATCTGAAATTTCCAGATGGACAGCTGTACTGGAAGCAATCTACCCATGATTCAAGTTTGAAAATGATTTGAATCACTTGTTTCAATGCAAGCACATGTCTTAAAATATTAGGACTTGTATCACAGAAGACTTGCTGTAATAATGAAAACAATCTTAGATTCTATTCAAATAGTTTATGTGTTTTGATTTTGGTGGATCTGATTTTATGAAATTCTCCACATTTTCTTAGATGTCCTGCCAAAAGAGAGGAGTGGAAAATGTTCCCCAATGAGCCCAGCACAGGCAGATAGACCAAAACTGTCCTTGGGCGGGGAAGTCTGCTGTGTTCATGTTCTGGTGAAATCATGAAGAATGCTGTTGAGTATATTTCCTGTGACTTATCTTCTAAACTTCTTATACTTTTCCATGATGAGTACATTGAGAAGCAGCCTGAATGCCCAAAGCTTGAGTTTCCAGAGGGAGTTATACGTGCCCTCTAGTAGTCTTTGAGGTTTTACATCAAAGGGCAATCTGAAGTTAAGTAATATAGTTGCTGTTCTGTATGTGGCTTGAGAGATGTGGTTTGCAGATATTTAAAATCTCATGTGTAGACTTTAAAAGTGTAGATACCTGGAAGAGGAAACTGTAATCAATTTCTGAATCATTTTTTCCTCCCTTCTTCATTCCTATCCAACTGTGTATGTCACATGTGCCTACCAGGTAGGCATAGATGCAGAAATACTCACATAATGTGCAAGTCCCATATTAACTGTTTCTGAATGAGCCATACAAGCTCTGTAACTCTGCTCATTACCTGGAATGGGCAAGCTATTTTTTGTGTAGACTAGAGAGGAAGTTTACATCAAGATGACAATTTTGAGTTTAACTGAGGTTAGAAAGGCATATGCTCAAGCACTGAGATTCTGACACTTGTCAAGAAATTTCAGCTGCTTGTATAATTTTGTATATTTCTCATGAAAAGTTAATACAAACAGATTCTTGAATTTTAGAGAAAATCTTCCCTTTTTCTCTATGAGCTCAACCCTGAAATTTCTTATATGTCAGTTTTACATAGCTTTTTTTTTTTTTTGCTGAATTCGGTTCTCATATGTAGAGTACAAAGAAAGACTCATATTCTTTGTGAAAGAGAAGAAAACCTTGCTCCAGAGCCTCAAACCATATCTCATCTCTTGTCTTCATACAGCAACAGCTACTACCCCTACAGAAAAGGAAAGATGAAATATGCCCATATCTGTCAATATGAATAGCTGAAATTAAGAAGAAATTACTTTCTGACCATATACTCACAGACCCTTATTTCCTGAAAAATGCAATTTTGATGCTGAATTCATTGTTCTATCTTGCATAGCTACAGAAATTATTAGTGGTCATAAATTATTCATTCCTTTTAAAAGTCCACTGACTTGGTGACAGCTAGAAGCAGTTTGTTCCTCAGGTTCACCATAGATAACACAAAAAAGTCTTTAGTGTTTTTAAACTTTGTAAAATTCGTGACAATATTATCTGAAAAAAACTTTACCCATACACAGAATTGTGTGTGGTATTGGACTAGGTTTGAGACAGAGGAGAAAGAAGCACATTATGTAGTGTATTATTACCTTTTAAACTTAACCTAAATTATGTCTCTAAGTCAACACCTATTTTCATATCTGCTTTCTACATGTGACCCTTTTGTTTTATTTAATGTTCATGTTTTAAACGAAAGAAAGAAAGAAAGAAAGAAAGAAAGAAAGAAAGAAAGAAAAGAAAGAAGAAAAAATGTAATTTCCATTGTGAAAAGCCAGTGGTATCAAATACAACTGTAGTTGGTGCTACATAGATTTAGCTCATATTTCCAAATTTTTTGTAGTATAGGTCTTATGAGTCTTATATACAGTGGAAAAAAAAATCCAATATATTAAACAATGTCTTACATTTATATAAATCACTACAGCTTTGTACACTATGCAGAGGACTAAGTATAAAGTATATTGGGGGTTGGAGTAGGATCTTTAAGGATCTTCCAACCCAAACCATTTTATGACCCTCTGATTCTAGATGCTATATTACACAGCTATTAATTGTGTGCGAGTAGATTGGTATCTATTGATGAAAATCTGCATCTTAGATATGCTTTATAATTTTATGTGGACATTGAACAGGGAAGGATTTTACTGGACCATTATTTGCAGTCTTCTGCACTGAGGATGAACTGCATCATGTAATCCCATCCTTAACCTCATTATCTTTCATCATTAGACAATGAATTACTTTTTGCTCCTGCACTTCTTTCAGGAAGCTCTTTCAAGGCTTTGTGCTGCTGATTGTAAGGAAACGTGTTGTTTTTTTTTTTTCTTTTTCCTAAATTAATTCAGGCCACTTTATTTCCCTCCCAACATTACCCTGCAGTTAGTCCTCCAGTTCTAGCCTCATGCTAACACAATTCATAGAGAGCAGCCACATTCTATCTGTGCTCCCATTTTTGTCTGTCTTCCCAAAATAGACTCTCAGTTCCTGACAAGGATGACTAGACCTTCCTTCCACCTGTCCTGGTCTGAGTTCACCTGTGCACACAGCACTGTCTTCAGTTTACTGTTATCTTTTATAATGATATTAAAGCATCCCAATTTCTCTTGGAAATACTTTGCTTTTGCTGTGGGCTAGTATCATATTGTGTTTTATCAACACTCTGATGACTCATTGTAATGTTGTGATTAAATTCTGTGACCAGGTCTTCTGCTGGATCTGTCATTTCCATCTGACCAGAGCATTTTTTGTAAGGGTACTTATTAGTCACAGTACATTTAGTGAAGAAATATGTTGGCTATCATATTCAGGAATAAGTTGGTCCTACCTTATTTGGTAGCATATTTTTTTCCAGTATGTCTCAGAAATTTATGTGTCCACACAACGATACAATTTCTGATAGCCATTTTCCTTCCAACAGAATATTAATGAGGTCCTCATCCAGGTTCAGATTTGATCCATGTGAGGCAATGGCAAACTTCTGACCTTAATTCATTTTAAAGCCCTTCATTCAAATTGATTTTGACCTTAAAAGCTACGGTTTTATCCATGTTACTACAGATTTTTATTTGCAGAAATGTTCTTTATTAAACTATGGCAGTATTCTACTCCTGATTTTATTCCTAGCTTTCAGAAGATTATCATATATTTCAATATCCACTTTCCAGTAATGAATGTTAGTCCACCAAGCCTTGTTAAGGCTGTACTGTCTAATTTCAAGTCCTCCCCTATTGGTTTCACTTCCTCTGGTTTGTAACCTTGCCACCTTTCATTGGTTTCCAAATAGCAAAGTTGTCTCTCTGTTACCTCACCCATTTCAACTCAATCTTTTATAATCCTTTCAGTAACTGAACTGTCTCCATGACTACTCCTATATTCTCTGCTTATATTTTTCTCTTTGCTGCTTCTGCTGATATTTTTTTTCCTTGTTTTTGCTGAACCCTTTCAACTGTTTTTCTTTTGCCTGTGTAGCAAAGTGGGATTTGGAGAGTTGAACACGACTCTTTTTCCAGTTTTCTTCCTTGGGTCTCTTAGCTTAAAGCTCTTCTAAATGGTGATGCTGGTTTGAATCTTACAAAAATCAGTCTCTCAGGAACTCTGGTAGAGGCTGTTTCCTGTGGGCTTTTTCTCCAAATGCTACCTTGTATATTTATTTTATTATACTATTTTATTTAAGGTATATGTCAGACCTGAATTATAACATGATTGGGTTCTTTTTTTCCCTGTGGCAAAATTTGTAGAAATATTGTCACTTGCCATAAAGGGATGTAAACAATTTATTCCTCCCAGTTCAAGAAACAGCCCCTGTAGAGAGTGTACAAAGTTAAGTATTTTGATTTGGCAGCAGAGCTATTCAATGTAAATCTCATGTAAACCACAAAGCCATTTTGGCTGCCACATCTCAGAAAGTGGCTTGTGGATGTAGAGTATTCACTGACAAATCTTCTCCTTCCCAACATCCTGATCCAAAGAGCTATTTCCCTATGGAAATAATTCTG